TCTCTCTCTCTCTCTCACTCCGGACGCCGCCACCTTCCGTACGAGGATGTCTATGCCTACCTATACGCGTGTCCAACCTTATTGTACGCAGCAGGTTTCATTTCATCATTACCTTTTTGGGTCCAGCCCAAAAGAGCCTGTACAGTTAAAAGACGATTATACCCCTGTTCATTTTTATCTGGTTCTTGCACTCAATTTGTGATTTTAGCAAGTCTAGGAGGGAGGGTAGAGCCTAGAGGTGGGAAGGAAGTTCCAAATTGCTCTCCGTTCCATCAACCTCTACGTACGTACATAAGGAAGAACATAAGTATATTTTGCTTAAGGGGTAATTTCGATATTTCACCTACATTTTTTTTAACCAAAATTACATATCACAGTCGTCAGGTCAGCCTCTTCATCTCTTGTATATCGGGCAATTTTCGATACCATATAAATCAATATTCAAAATGGGGTCTTGTACTCATTGACGAGTCGACGACGTACACTCTTTCATCATCATCACCTCTCTCTCTCTCTCTCTCTCTCTCTGAGTCTGTGTCCTATTTGTGAGCTGGCCGGTTTCTGGGATCAACAAATCAAAATGGGGCATAAGAAAGCTCTCACAGGGTTTTCAACCTTCATAGTCATTCTAATGGTGGCCTCAATACCATTTGTGCAACCTTCTCGTAAGTCTTCTTCTCCCCTCTCCTCTCTCTCTTCTCTCTCACATTTTGTGAGCTTCTGATCTAAAGCTATTTTTCCACGCCATTTTCATTTTTCCTTTTCAGGCCTCCAAGTGAGAACATTCACTTTGACAGAAAACACAAACACAAAGGTAACAACTTTTTCCAAAGTTTAAATCTTTTCATTTATTCAAGAACCCTTTATATATATATTTCATCTTCTTTGTAGAGGTTTAAGCTTATCCATTCTGTCTGTGTCAACTTGCATATGTTTTCTTTTTCTTTTTTCTTTTTTTACAGTCCATTATTGAGTTGGGTCTCTGTTTTTTTTTCTTTTTCTGAAAAGAACCATTTTTCCCCTTTTTTTTTAATCTGAAAAGGGGCTTCAAATCAACCAGGCTGATAGATTTGGGAATGGAGAAGGAGCTAAGGTTTTCAATGCTGTGGAAGACTCAGCAAGGCAAGTTCCGGCTGGTCCTGACCCTCTTCACCATAACAACAACCCCATTGGTCCTTAAACCCTATCTCTCTCTCTCTCTCTGAGCCAAGGTTTTAAATGCTGGGGTTTTCACCAATGTATAGACACTACTTTAGGGCTGCTCTGCTTCATAGCTATAGTTATCCAAGATAGTTTTAGTTTTTCTTAATGGCATGACCAAATATTGTTATGTGGTAATGGTATATGGATGTCTTTTCTTCTCCAATGTTCTTATAATTTTAGCCAATGTAAGTCTCTGGTTAACTTTTCAATTTAACAATCTATCTACCAGCTCTTAACTTTGTCAGTTTTTCTTAGTTTTATGTATGAGTCTGTGGTTCTGCCAAATTTGTGTGCGTATGCTTTGAAATTTGAGGCATGTTTTTTCGTCTGCATATAACAACATTTACTGTATACACACCAAATTCAATTCAGGATGTTGATGATGGTGGGTTTGCGTATATAAGTCTTTATTTTTTAGTTAAATTTTAGCTAAAAATATATAAAAGTTATTCTATAAAATATAAACTCTAAT